CTTCATTTTGTTAATGTAGTATATCACATTGATTGATTTTCAGATGTTTAACCATTCTTGTATCCTTGGAATAAATCCCGCTTTATCATGGTGTATGATCCTTTTAATGTACTATTGAATTTGGTTTGCTAATATTTTGTTGAGGATTTTTACATCTATGTTCATCAGAGATATTGGCCTAAAATTTTCTTTTCTTGTAATATCCGTGGTTTAGCCTTGCAAAATGGAGTTTGGAAGTGTTCCCAGCTCTGGCTTATTTATTTCCTTTTAGTTTTTATTCTGTATGTTGGATACTTTTTGCAGAAATGGGATATCACATATAACTTTTAAGTTGACTTTTTTCCTTTTTTACTAAACATGTGTCTTTAAATACACAATTTTCATGGCTACATTGTATTCTACCTTTGGAAGAATTATAACTTATTTAACAACTCTTATTGTTGGACATTTGGGTTCTAGAATAAATAATACTACATTATATGTCTTTCATACAAATAGCTGTCTACATATATTTTTAGAAATATACTAACTGGGTCAAAAGAGATGAGTATTTTTAAGTTTGGGAGAATGTTTACAATATGCATATGGTAGGGACAAAATTACTTCCCAGATAGGCTTAAAAATGACTGCATATTGGGTGCCTGGGTGGCTCAGTTGGTTGAGCGACTGCCTTCAGCTCAGGTCATGATCCTGGAGTCCCGGGATCGAGTCCCGCATCGGGCTCCCTGCTCGGTGGGGAGTCTGCTTCTCCCTCTGATCCTCCCCCCTCTCATGTGCTCTCTCTCTCTCTCAAATAAATAAATAAATAAAATCTTTTAAAAAAATGACTGCATATTTTTTCATCCTTGTCCCACTTAATGCACTATTTTAATGGTTGCCAATATTTTAAAAAATATTATTTTAATTTTCATTTATTTCATGACTAGTAGAGTTGTATCTCTTAAATATATATTATTTTTCTGTGACTTGTTTGTTCTTGTCCTTTACCCATTTTTCTTTTATAATGGGAAGTCAGTATTATTTTTAAAGGCCTATTTCCATATTAAGGACATTAGCTTTTGTGTATATACTATGCATGTGTATGTGTGTATATTTATAACACAGATATCATACCTAATTCACCCTAAATTTTTTTGTGTATGGTATTTTTGACATAATGGAATTTTAAATGGTTATGTAGTCATTATATTGATTTTCTCCTTTGTGATTTTTGTCCATCTGTTTTAGTTTTGTAATCCTTTTTTGCTCTGAAATTTCTCTCCAATATAAGCATCAGCCAAATATTCCCCTGTATTTTTTGTGTGCTTTAAACGATTTCATTATTTACATTTCACCTATCTGTGTAGAATTTACTTTCATGTGAGGTTATTATCAAACTTGATTTTCCCCCCTGTACTTCGCCAATTTTTCTAGCAACTTATGTGGATAAACCTACATTCCTTAGTGGTTTATGATGTTTCCTTTGTAATATAAAAATAATTTAGGTTTACCAGATTCTCTTTCAGGTCTTACTTTTGTGTTCTATTGATCTGCCTGCCAATTCTTTTTTTAGATCACACTGTTTTAATTGTTTATTTTTAATACCTCATAGGACAAGTTACCCCTCACTCCACCCATTGATCTCCTTTTACAAAATTTCCTTTGGTTGCTTTTTGGGGGGAGGGTGGGGCAAAGAGTAGTAGGATTAGTGGTTTCTTAATCCCATTCTTCAATCAAGGCAATCAAAACATGTTATTAGAAGAGTAAGGGGTTTTTTTTCCTGTAACTTGAAAATAGATATTCAGTTTATTCATCTAACAGCTCTATCAACTTCTCTGAAAATACATTTTAAAAGGTGAAAAAAGTACAGCTCCGTTTCCAACCTCTGAATAGTTCCACATGTCTTAAAATAGTTTTTTTTTTCTTTTGCCAGTTTTAGCATTTTGGATTTTATTCTACGATGATATAGCTTGGTTAATAGATTGTGTTTTAGGCATTAAAAAATTATTCCTCAATGAGAGCTTGATGGGAGTTATGAAATATCTTGTTTGTTGCCGTTGTTGAGTTTTTCTTCCATAATCATAAACTTAACTCTGCAATCCAGCAAGACTTGGAATGGGATAAGGAAAAAATGGAACCCAAAGAAGAACAGTGTGAACACAAAGATCATAGGAATTTATAAGCAGACAGGGATGAGGGGTGCTCTCCTAAGCAACAGAAGGAATGGCCTGGTGGTTAAAATAAAATGCAAGTCAAATTTACTGGTTGTCCATGCTGGGCAATGGTGATCTTCTTTCTGGTCTTAAAATTCCTAGACCCAAAGTGATCCATGGTTTCCACAGTATTCATGCACTCTTTTTCACTTTGCCAAAGATCATGGGCTTGCCATCTAACCATACAGTACTGACATTCTTGGGAACCATTTATATTGGGCCTAGGACAAGGTGCTGGGACCTGTATAATTGAGGATGAAATTGTCATCATCACATTTCTCCCTTAGATGGACTTGTTGCCAGTGCCATTAATGGCATTTGAAGTCTCCATCCTGCCACATAAACCCCCTAATAATTTTTTTAAAAAAAGGAACCTTTATAACCAAATCCCTTCTTCTCAACGCTCATTCTGAGCGAGTGTTTTGAAAGTTTTCTGCTGTCTTTGAGAGTTTGTCTAGAAATAGCCCTCAGGAGATGTGGCCAAAGGGCTCATTGGCAATGGTGATGTCAAAGAGCATGGTGGAGTTGAGCATGGCTACCCGGTGTGGTGTGGCCCCAGGAGGTGGTGATGGTGTCTGCAAAGCTATCTTTTTTTTTTTTTTTAAGATTTTATTTATTTGACAGACAGATACATAGCGAGAGGGGAACACAAGCAGGGGGAGTAGGAGAGGGAGAAGCAGGCTTCCCGCTGAGCAGGGAGCCCTATGTGGGGCTCGATCCCAGGACCCTGGGATCATGACCTGAGCTGAAGGCAGACACTTAACTACTGAGCCACCAGGCGCCCCTCTGCAAAGCTATCTTATTCTTGTTCTTTCTTTCTTTTTAATTTTAATTCTAGTTTAGTTAATAAACAGTGTTATATTAGTTTCAGGTGTACGATATAGTGATTCAACAATTCTATACATTATCAGTGCTCCTCCATGATAAGTGTACTCTTCATCCCCTTCACCTGTTTCATCCATTCCCCCACTCACCTCCCCTCTGGTAACCACCAGTTTGTTCTCTATAATTAAGAGTCTGTTTTATGGCCTGCCTTTCTTTTTCTTTGTTTGTTTTTTTCTTAAATCTACATATGAGTGAATTCATATGGTATTTTTTTTTCCTCTGACTGACTTATTTCACTTAGCATTATACTCTGTAGATCCAGCCATGTTGTTGTAAATGGCAAGATTTCATTCTTTTTTCACATTTTTTTTATCCATTTATCCATTGACGGACACTTGGGCTGCTTCCATAATTTGGCTATTGTAAATACTGCTGCAATAAACATAGAGGTGTATATATCTTTTTGAATTAGTGTTTTTGTATTCTTTGGGTAAATATCCAGTAGTGGAATTACTGAATCATATGGTAATTCTATTTTTAGTTTTTTGAGGAACCCCCATACTGTTTTCCACAGTAGCTGCACCAGTTTGCATTCCCATCAACAGTGCATAAGGATTCCTTTTTCTCCACATCCTCGCCAGCACTGGTTGTTCTTTGTTTGTTTGTTTGTTTGATTTCAGTCACTCTGACAGGTGTGAGGTGATATCTCATTGTGGTTTTGTTTTGTATATCTCTGATGATGAGTGATGAGAATCTTTTCATTCTTGCTCTTATGAGTTGTTTTCCCAAGGTCAAAATAGGGAGAATAATCATGAAAACGATTTCTAAAACATGCTTGCATTTTACGGACAATATTAGAGTGGTTCATTCATGCAACAGATATTTACAGCATCCTCACTATGAGCCAGGCACAAACATCATGGGTGCTGGACATATACCAAGGAGCAAAATAAGGGTAATACTTGCTCTGGAGATTAAATTCCAGTAGGAGATATAAACAAATAAATAAAAATATAAAATGCAGTGTAAAATAGAGATGAGCACGCTGAAGATGAACAAAGCAAGGTAAAAGGAAAGAGTATGTCAGGAATGAGGGTGACCACTCTTGGGTAGTGTGATTAGGAAAGGTCTCTGTGATTAGGTGGCCTTTGCAGAGACTTGAAAGAGATGAGGAAGCAAGTTATACAAGCTGATAGGTTCTGGGACCATCGAGGAGCCCAGCATATTCACAAAGGAGTGAGTGTGTCAGAGAGTAGTGGGAGATAAGGTCAGAGAAGTAGCCAGGGTCAAATTAAAGGGTCTGATTTTACTGCAGTGATGAGGAGAAGCTGTTGGAAGATTCTGAGCAGGAGAATGACATGATTTGATGTCATTTGAGTTGTATCTCTCTGGCTGCCTTTACAAAAAGTGGATGTCACTAAGGATACTGGGTGAATAGCAGATTTGGGTGGTAGGTATGAAGAGTTCCGTCTGGACAGGCCCCATTGGAAGTGCCTATTAGCCACCTGAGAGTTGATGTCTAATTGGTAGTAGGATGATGCATGAGTCTGGAGCACCAAAGATAGCAATAATTGGGAGAACATATGTTGGTTTAGCACTGTGGGTCTGGGTCAGATCACTCAGGAGTATATTGATTTCCTAGGGCTTCTGTAACAAATAACCATCAATTATCTGGCTTACAACAACAGAAATTGTTGTTACTCATAATTCTGGAGGCTAGAAGTCCAGAGTCCTGCAGGGCCTTTCTCACTCCCTTTGACTCTTCTAGCCTCTAAAGCTTGTTGGTGTTCCCTGATTTGTGACCCCTCACTCTAATCTCTGCCTCTCTCTTCTAAGGGCACTTGTTTTTGTATTAATGGCTCATCAGGATAATCCACGACAAGCTGCTCTCAAAATCCTTAACCTAATGATGTTTTACAGTATAAGGCAATATTCACTCTTTTATCATGTAAGGCAATATCCACAGGTTCCAGGGATTAGGACATGGAGCTGTCTTTGGGGGGCCACCATTCACTCATCACAGGCAATAGAGTGTGGATTGAAAAGAGAAGTGGTCTCAAGACTAAGCTGTGGGGCACGAGAGCATTCGGAAGCAGGGAAGAGAACTCAGAGCCAGTGAAGGAAACTGAAAGGAGGTCAGTGAGATGTATGAGGAGCAGGAGAGTCAGAGCGTGGTGTCTGGGGAGGAAGTGTTTCAATAAGGAGACAATTTGCATATGGAAAGCTGCTGAGGTGTGTAGAAAATAAGGATTGAGCCTTGATGATTAGATTTGGTAAGACAAGTCATTGGTGAACTTGCCAAAACTGTGTTCAGTGGCATTACTTGCATCTGTTGTGGTCCTCAGTGCTGAAACCAGCTTCCCCTGGAATATTATAATCCTGTTTTCATTGTGGGATCAGTGGTTGGCCAAGCACATAGAATTTAAAAAAGTTATTTTGTAATTTCTTTTTCTTCCTTCTATTTGAAGTTATGTTTGTGAGTGTGTTGTGTCAATAGTTTGGTTTCTTCAAACAAACTGTTATATGGTCATGGTAGAAATTTTGGAAATACAAAAAGAAAAAAAATTAAAATGGGTTATTCCATTTTAAATTTCATCTAAACAAGCCATTTTTTTTTGCAACCATTTTTTTCTAGGACTTTCTTGTTTTATTGCTCATTTTTTTTGATTGGGCTTTGAGGCTTTTCTAGAAATGTCACTGAATTCAGTGATATGATTTCCCAGGAGTAGGTAAAGGACAATGTTACTCACAATGTGTCGCCTTATGACTTGGGGTTGACTTTCGGGTTTTGAGGTACCAATGTGAATGGCTGGGCAGGTAACCTCCAGCAAAGCTGCCCAGTTGTTAAAAAGGAGACCCTCCCAGGAAAACTGAATGGGAAGAAATCAGAGAGGGATACAAACCATAAGAGACTCTGGACTGTGGGAAACAAACTGAGGGTTGCTGGAGGGGAGGGGGGTGGAGGGATGGGGAAACTGGGTGATGGGTATTAAGGAGGGCACATGTGGTGATGAGCACTGGGTGTTATACACAACTAACAAATCGTTGAACACTACACCAAAAACCAATGGTATACTATATGTTGACTAACTAAACATAATATAAATAAATGAATGAATGAATGAATGAATGAATGGAGACCCTCCCAAATAGAGTCTGTGCTGGTGAGTGAATTGCAGATAGGTCCATTCCATTTATAGAACATCCAACCAACAGGTATTCAAGAGCCAGTGTTCTCAATTTGTCTCCCCAGATGTTAATATAGGGAGGCAGTGACTTTTTTTTTTTAGTTTCAGAAAGCTAATAAGGGAATTGGATGAATCTTAATATCACATTAACATTTCCATTTTTATAAAGTCTGCATTAAATTTGTGAGAGATCAGACTAAGGGAGAACACACTCTGACTCGAAGTAAGTTTAGAGTAAAAATCACCAGATTCATCTCAGTATAAAACAGGTAGATTGAGGGTAAGATGAGGAACACAGGGACAGCACCGAGGGTGCTGGAACGTGGCTTTTTGAGTAGATTCAGGAAGAAATCTTCCTGAGATCTCCTCTGGATCCCAAAATTAGCACCATAAGATGGTGATAATAGACTCTGACCAGATGTTTCTCTTTTTTTGATTTAAGCAACTATCTCTGAAGAAAAGGTCCAGTGAGCTTACTTACTAATCAGATTTCCTCTTGAAGATCTAGCAAAGCTTTCCCCATTTTCTATATTTAAATTGCCTAAATTTTATGTATAAGTTAATGGATTTTGAAAAATATAGACCTCATAAAGATGCCAAATTAATTATTGGTGTTCAAGACCAAATACTAGTAGGGAAAATATGTTGTTCTAGAATACTAGGTCAGTGTTTTTAGGGAGTTGAGTAAAAAACAGGGAGGAATACATTCTTATTTTATGATTCTGAAGCTCAGAATCTGAGCTGCTGACATAAATTGAGATCAGTACTCTTATCCCATTTTTGACTTTTTCTATTTTGCCTGCCAAAAGTCCAGATGAGAAAAAGGTCTCAAAAGTGGAAATAAGGAAACTCATTTTATATAAGCCAAATTACTTGTTAATATGTGCCATTAAAGGCTGAGAATGAGTTTTAGAATTTAAAGTTCATTGTATTTATCTTCCAATCAAGCCTAAATTATTGAGAATACCATATGTTTTTAGAAAACATATTTGGTGTCTTTGGGAACTCGAGGCTACTAAATCATTAACAGCTGCCAGAATGGAATCGACCAAATGTACTTGGAATTTAGTTCTTTGTAGTTGGGAAGTTTGTGGATTTCCTGGTTCAGCCCATCTGATGAAAAGAATAACTCTCAAAACATGTTAGCTGGTTGCACAGAATAAATAATATTGCCAGAGAATATGAGATAGATGGGAGTAAAGAGAAATTTACAAGACTGTGTCATCAGTTGAAGACAAATAAAGGCAATTAAAGAGGGAAATAATAGTGCCCATTGTTGACGTTCCTCAGATGCAGTGGTTCTCAGCCTAGGCACTGTTGACATTTTGGGCCAGATCATTATGTGTTGTGGGGTTTGTCCTGTGTATTGTAGGATAATGAGCAGCAATTCTGTCCTCCACCCCCAGATGCCACAACACCCTCTCCCCAGTTGTGATATTGCCAAATGTCCTGGTGGGGGCAGACTTGACCCTGATTGAGAACCACTGCTCCAGACTGCCCGAAGAACCCCCCAAAGTCACATCCCCGTTATACACTCAAGATAGAATGGGATGAAGGGGAAGGCTTATTGAGAACATTGGTTATTGAACATGTTATTGGTATGAAGTTTTATTTGGGAAGCATAATAATGAAGGTATAATTCCGTCATGTATATAATTCCTTCATGTATATTTTACTGATAAAAAGCAAATCACTTTTTTTCCAACCTAGAGTTAAACGCTGTCCAACTGCCTGGGTTTGAGTCCCAGTTTTGATACTTTTTAGCTATGTGATCTTTGACAAGTTACTTAAACTCTCTGAGCCTGACTTTTCTTGTCTGTAAAATGGAGTTCATTACAGGTTATAAGTATAAATCTATAAGTATACTTATAGTTCTTTTTCCTTTTTTTCATCCCTTTTTTTTGATTAATCTTCCCTTAAGGTGCTTCTTATATTTTAAGTGTTATATAGATGTTTGCTGTTACTATTAGTTGGGTTAACAAATCAAAAGTGCTATACCAAGCCTATGAGCTCAAAATGTTTTGAGTTCAATATAGACTGTTGTCTTTCTCCCTGTGTATTCCCACAGTTAGTATAAATAAATTGCCTTCATAATTCTAGTTACTTCATCTTTTCTACCAGGCACAGGACCACTGCTAACATAAGCAGTATTTATGGTCAAAGAGAAAGGCGTTCTTACCTTTGGGCACTTACAGCTCCATGTCAGTGTTGGCAAGCAGAGCATGGGCTGGATCTCATTTCCGTGCCCCCACTGGGCAAGGTGCCTCTGTGCAGTGGTCAGTGAGCATGACTGTGCAGGGTCCTGATGGGGGCATTATTCCTGCAAGGAAACCTGGCTTAGATACTCAAATCTCCTACTCCAGGGTGAATTGTGTCAACTGGATTGGGTTACTAGTAATCATGCCACTTACTGCCTCGATTTCTCTGCCCTCCCTTGCTGCTCTGAAGGGTGGAGGTGGGGTTTTGAGCCCAACACTTGAAAAACTTGGGTATGAGAGGGAATCCACAGATATGTTGTCACACTGTTGGCATGGGGATGTTTTTAAAGCCTTGAAGTTGGATGGGATCACTTAGGCATAGTGAGAGGAATAAGAAGACAAGGGGCCGAGGGCTGAGCCTCGGGGAACTCCAACTTTCAAGATCGCATGAAAGTATAGCAATGGGCAAAGGAGACTGAGGAGAACTCAGACAAGGAGGAGGAAAAGTGAGGGTGAGCTGTCACAGAAAGTAAAAGAAGAGAGTGAAAACCAAAGCCTATACTTTGTGAATGAATGGCTGTAGGGGTACCTCGGTTGTACAAATCATGATAGTAATTCATGACCAACTGAAAAGTAATGTTAACATTTCCATTTCCTCACCAACCAACCTCTTGTCTCATAGGTTAAAGCTTCTGATGCAGATGCAGGACTCTATGGCTTTGTGGAGTATTCTCTTTATGATGGATTCCAAAGCTATGATGTGTCTCCAGCATTCCAGATCGACCCACATGATGGGCGAATCTGTGTTTCTCAAGATATCGATAGGGAAAGGGATCCCGCAACCTATGATCTCTTGGTGAAAGCTAAGGATGGGGTAAGTGTTCATGTATGAAATCTCAGACATACTCAACAGTGAACCACTGTCCACATATCAGAGAGTACCGTTGATTATCAATTAGCCAACCTTGTCTCACAAATCACTACCTCTTTCTTTAGCAAATACCAGACATTATATATCATCTCATCCATAAATAGTTCAATAATATCTATAACAGATAATTACTTTTTAAAAACATGACTACATGGGGCACCTGGGTGGCTCAGTCGGTTAAGCATCTGCCTTCGGCTCAGATCATGATCCTGGGATCCTGGGATTGAGCCCCACATCGGGCTCCCTGCTCAGTGGAGAGCCTGCTTCTCCCTCTCCCTCTGCCTGCCACTCTGCCTACTTACGCTCTCTCTCTGTCTGTCAAATAAATAAATAAAATCTTAAAAAAATAAAAATAAAAACATGACTACAATAAATTAACGATAATTCTTTAGTAATATCTAATATCCAGTCCATTTAAAATTTTCTGGATTATCTAAAAATGTCTTTTAAAAGGTGACTTATTTGACTTAAGATCCAAATGAGTTCAAAATTGATTTGATTGCAGTATCCCTTCAGTTTCAGTCCATAACAGTCAGCTCCCGCCTCTCCTCCCTAACCTACCTTACCTTTTCTCTGATGGTATTTGTTTTTGGAAGAAATCAAATTATTTGCCCTGTAAATGTTCCACCTTCTGGATGTGGCTGATTACATCCTTGGGATTCATTTAATGTCTTCTTTTATCATATTTCCTATGAACTGACATTCATTTAGGTGGTGCTGTGTACTTCTTACTATATCGCCAGACATATGCCATTATTCCGTTATGGGGTGCAATGTGGTGAATGTTGAATTCTGTTATTCCTTTTGCATTTATTATCTGGAATTCTTCAACTAAGAATGTTCTCTCATCAACTATTTGATTATCCTGGAATACAATTCATAGAGGAGAGGAGGGATAATGCTTGATTAGTTCTATTTTATCTGTTTTTAGAATAACAAGTTGGTGCATTTACTGTCTCCAAAGGGTGTGGATGATTTTTTCTTTTTTTTTTTTTTTAAAGATTTTATTTATTTATTTGACAGAGACACAGTGAGAGGGAACACAAGCAGGGGGAGTGGGAGAGGGAGAAGCAGGCTTCCCACGGAGCAGGGAGCCCAATGCGGGGCTTGATCCCAGGACTCTGGGATCATGACCTGAGCCGAAGGCAGACGTTTAACAACTGAGCCACCCAGGTGCCCCAGATGATTTTTTTTTCTAGTGTGATTATAAATTCCTGGATTTTTATATATTTGATGTATTTCATACATTGCTGACATTCTCTCTGATGTTCATACTGACTCATCTTAGGTCAGTAGAGGCACCTTCAATTTGACTCTTAAGTCTTTTTTTGGTAAACTTTTAAATTGGCATATAAAATGCATGCATCAAGGTGCACAAATTATAGTATAATTTAGTGGATCTTTGCAAAATAAACACATGCATGGAAGCAGATGAAGAAACATTACCTGAACCCTGAAAGCCTCTCTCTAGGCCTCTTGCTTATCCCTTGCCCCCTGCCTTTCAGGTTAATCACTATTGACTTTTTTTTTAATATTTTATTTATTTATTTGATAGAGAGAGCGTGTGAGAGAGTGTGGGAGCTGGGGGAAGGGCAGAGAGAGAAGGAGAAGCAGGCTTCCCACGGAGCAGGGAGCCCAATGTGGGACTTGATCCCAGGACTCTGGGATCATGACCTGAACTGAAGGCAGATGCTTAACCAACTGAGCCACCCAGGTGCCCCCATCACTATTGACTTGTAACAACAAATATCAAACAATGAATCATGGAACACTACATCAAAAACTAATGATGTACTGTATGGTGACTAATATAACATAATAAAAAAAAAAACACAAATATCATTTGCCTGTTTTTAAACTTCAGCGGATAGATTTATACACTGTTTTTATTGTTTCTTTTGTCCAACATTATTTCTAAGAATCATACATGCTGTTGTGTATAGCAATAGTTCGTTCATTCTCATTTGTTCATAGTATTCTTTTATGGGAAATTTGTGATAATTTTTTATCTATTCTATAATTGATGGCATACATTTTAGTCTATTACAAAAAGTGCTTCTATTAACATTCTTATACATGTAATTTGGTGAACAAATATAAGCATTTCTTTTTTTTAAAGATTTTATTTATTTATTTATTTTTGAGAGAGAGAGAATGACAGATAGAGAGCATGAGAGGGAAGAGAGTTAGAGGGAGAAGCAGACTCCCCGCTGAGCAGGGAGCCCGATGTGGGACTCGATCCCGGGACTCCAGGATCATGACCTGAGCCTAAGGCAGTCGCCTAACCAACTGAGCCACCCAGGCGCCCAAGAGCCAGATTCTTAACTGACTGAGCCACCCAGGCCCCAAGCATTTGTATTGAGTATGTATTTAGGAGTGGAATCACTAGATCTTAAGAAAGCCAAACAACTTTTCAAATGGTTGTACCAATTTATACTCCCACCAGAAGGGTATGAGAATTTCGTTTGCTCCACAACCTCCCAACAATTGGTATTTAATGTCTTTTTAATTATAGCAATTCTGGTACCTAGTCAGTGGTGTATCAGATTGGGGTTTTACTTTGCATTTCCTTGATGACTAATGAACTGAGCACCATTTCATACGCTTATTGGCTGTTTGTAGAACTGGTTTTGTGAAGTGTCTGTTCAATTCTTTACCCATTTTCTATTGTATTACCGGGTTCCTTTCTTGTCGATGTGTATGAATTCTTATATTTTTGGCATTCAAGTCCTTTGTTGTATATACTTATTGTGTATATCCTTTTCCATTCTGTGGCTTGCTTTTTACTCCCTTAAGGATGTCTTTTGAGGAACAGAAGTTGTTGATTCTAATAAAGCTTAGTTTATTAATTTGCTTACCTTTACAGCAAATTTAGAAGTATTTGCTATCCTTCTTAGAAATAATGGCTTACCTTAGAGACATGAGGTGTCACCTTACATTTCTTTCTGAAAACTTTTTTATTTCACCTTTCATACTCATTTTTTCAATCTAGTGGGAGGAAGGCTTGTTTTTTTTTTTTCTAATATAGATACTGAGGTAACAATTCTTTCATGCTTGCACTAGAGTATCACTTTTGTCCTAAATCATGTGCTGATGTATGTGTATGTCTATTTCTGGACACCCTATTTTTGACCTATTTGTCTACCATTGTACTAGCACCATACTCTTAATTGTTTAAGCTCTATAATAGGTCATGATATTGTATATTCTTTTAGCTTTGTCCTTCATTTTCAAGACTGCCTTGGCTATTCCTGGCTATTCCATTTACATTTCCAAGTACATTTCAGAAACAGCTTGTTCAATTTTCATTTCTTCTTCTTCTTCTTTTTTTTTTTAATGTATTTGACAGAGAGAGAGAGCACCAGTAGGCAGAGAGGCAGGCAGAGGGAGAGGGAGAAGCAGGCTCTCTGCTGAGCAGGGAGCCCGATGTGGGGATCGATCCCAGGACCCTAGGATCATGACCCGAGCCGAGGGCAGATGCTTAACTGATTGAGCCACCCAGGTGCCCCTCAATTTTCATTTCGTTACAGCAAAGATAACTTACTATATACACACTATTCTGCATTTTTTTTTCATTTAATTTATTTTGGAGATTTTCCTTGTTTCTTTTTTATCTGCTTACTACTCCTTTGTTGGGTACAGCTAACACCTCTCTGGTCTAATCCTTTTTGAAAGTAATAGGCAGATCTACCTACTTAAGTCATGAGTTGTTGGGGAAAATGAATCTAAATATATTTACTACAAGTAAGCATGTAGAAACTACCATGAAAATGAAGTCATTTATATTTGATAAAATTAGCATGATTTGATTAGATTTTATCAACCCCTGACTATGTGGTTTTAGGAATTCTTGCTTCTTTGTAAGAAAAGATGTAAGAAACAAAAATAGGAATAAACAGAAGAATTTAGGTTAATTCAAATTACATGATTTTTAAAGCTCAATATATACACACACACATATTAATGCAAGACTTCAAAAATATATTCTTTTTTTTTTTTTTTTAGAGAGAGTGTGTGTGCGTGCACATATGCCTGAGCAAACTGGGGGGAGGGGCAGAAGGAGAGAGAGAGAGAATCTTAAGCAGGCTCCACACTTGGGCGTGGAGCCCAACGTGGCGCTTGATTCCATGACCCTGAGCTTACAACCTGAGCCGAAATCAAGAGTCAGACACGTAACTGACTGAACCACGCAGGTGCCCCCCCAAAATATATTCTTAATAGATTTTGAGACAATTGTAAAAGCCCATCCTAGAAGTGAATAACCAGTTTAAATCCAATTCTGCAGTAGTTGAACATCTGTTTCTAATTAGTTGGTTTCAGATGATCTTGTAAAAGTGTATAAAGAAATTATCTTAGGGGCGCCTGGGTGGCTCAGTCGTTAAGCGTCTGCCTTTGGTTCAAGTCATGATCCCAGGGTCCTGGGATGGAGCCCTGCATCAGGCTCCCTGCTCCTCAGGAAGCCTGCTTCTCCCTCCCCTACTCCCCGTGCTTGTGTTCCCTCTCTCGCTGTGTCTCTCTGTCAAATAAATAAATAAAATCTTAAAAAAAAAAAAAAGAAATTATTACCGGAAATTTTTTATTCCCCCAAAGCAGTGCAATTAATTAGGATTATTGCCAGTGGAATAAAAAAAATAAACCCAGATATTTAATTTAAACCTCCTTGCTTTTGTCCATTTTCATTGGGAACCTGCTCTACACAAGTTATAAAGAATGCTTCCCCTTCCCCTCAGCTTACCAGACTCTACTGCAATGTTCAAGTGCATCTTTAGCCACACCATCTCTCCACAACTCTGCCAGACTGAACAAAAGGGATGCATTTTTTTTTATTTCCCAGCCAAAAGATATTTTATCTTAAAGATAATCAAGAAAGTTTATACAAACAGACTGTGGTAGCTTTTTGCTAATTTTTAAAAAATCAAAGAAGAGATGATCTCCAGGTTGATGACTGCTATGGTCTGAATGTTTACGTGCCCCCCCATTCATATGTTGAAAACCTAATACCCAAAGTGATGATATTAGGAGATGGGGCCTTTGGCAAGTGTTTAGGTCATGAGGGTGGAGTCATCATGAATGGGATTAGTATTCTTACCAAAGAGGCCCCAGAGAGCCCCTTAGCCTTTTCTCCCAGTTGAGGGCACCAGGAGAAATTGGCAAGCTCCCAGCCTTCACCAGAACTTGACTGTGCTGCCACCCCATCTTGGACTTCTAGCCTTCAGAAGTGTGAGAAGTAAATCTCTGTTGCTCGTAAGCCACCCAGTCTGTGATACTTTGTAAGAGCAGCCAGAATGGACTAAGACAATGTGTGTGTCATAATATTCTTCTGTTTAAAAACTCCTTGTAAGTTGTAGAAGGAAAACCCTCCAACAAAGCACAACATATTTCAGTTTTGTTTGAGCAGGAACAACCTCCCTGTAAGTACTTCATATTCAAGATCTCACCCTACTTTTCTGGTGATTTCATCTTAAACCAGGCCCTGCACAGACTGGAGCTGCTCTGTGCCCTGAGTGGTTTAATGTTGGTTTCATTATTATTTAGGGATGGGCAAGAAGATGGCTGCCATTGAAAAAAAAAAACAGTTTGTTATACTCACAGATTCCAAGACGGGGTTGGAGTGGGGAGGGCAGCATATGCCACACCATGGCATAGAGGTGGGTATGTGCACAATGGGAAGCACTAGGGTGGGTGAGGAGTCAGAGAGAGAGAGGGGGAAAACTGTGGGCAAGGGTCTTTATTGTGGTTTTCAAGGGAAGGAATGGGAAAGGCAGAATAGGCAGGCTTAGGATTGGCTAGTTTGAGTACTTTCAACAAGCTCTGGTGCATAGAGACTGTCTAGCTGTTCTGGCACTTGGCCCTGGGGTGATTAGGGCAGGTGGAGGGTGGCCTAGAGTCATGAAGCATGGGAAAGGATGTGGGTGGGGTTTGGGGTCTAGATTGGTTGGTTTGCATTTGAAAAGCATGCTCACTGGATCCTGGGCAATCTTCTGGGATCAGCAAGGCCCAGTGTCAAAGCATCAGAACACAGAAAATGGAAGACACGGCTAATACACTGTCCTGGTATAGAGCCCCTCTTAGAGGAAGGCAAAGGGCTCCCCAGAGCTCTTGCTATACTTAAGGCTCATGAAAAGAAAATCTTTGCAGCTACCTTGTTTTACTCAGCATATTGGAAATAGCACCCAGTGATACTGAGAGAATTCACTATTCAGTTCAACTTTTGTCCCCAAATATCATCTGAAATCATCAAAGACAGTTTCTGTCATGGCCTGGGCTTTCAGCGTTTTGTTGTCTTTGTGTCCGGCCCATGTGGTCCCAGCAAGTATCACTCACCACTGCTAGGTCCTGTGTTGATGGTTCACATACTTTCCGTCAGGCACCACCAGTGAGTGCTCTTCCTCTTCCTCTTCCTCCCTCCTTTCCTCTCTGGTGTGATCATCCTCCTCATCTTCATCTCTTCCCTCTGCATCTTCTACCTCATCTCTGTCTTCTTCCAAGTTTATCTCCTTCGTGTACTCTTGAGTTTGTGAATCCATCTGTCTTCAAGTCTTCCATTTTTTCATCCTGTGCAGATCAAAGTAGTACAAATCCTTCAGGATAAACTGGCAGTCCCTTGTTTCCAACATGCTCCCCTAAACAATAGAGAAGCTCACACTTCTTGGTCAGCATGGTATTAGTACGGTGACTTGGCTCTGTCGGAGGGCCGCTGGCTTCATCAGAACCATCTTCCTCCTTTCTGCCACCTGAGACAGAGAGCATTGGTTCAATGCTAATCATTGTCCCATCCTCTGTGACCACCTTTCTGACCACATGCAGGGACTCCTGGGCGCTGGCTTCCCCACATTCCTGCTTGTTATCACTTTCAGACTCTATTATTATTATTATTATTATTATTATTATATTTTGGCCTTGCCTATGTTTTTATTCTCTGACCCAGTCCCTTTAGCTGTCCTGCCAACCAGAGGCTCTTTGTGGTGTTATATAAGTATGAGTCATCAAAGAAGTCACCTTCTAGACTCTCTTCTTCTTCCTTAACACAGACGCCCCCAAAAAGCAGTGTCTGATGATTCAGGCCACAGCTATCAAAATGCTAGATCTAGGAGTGAGCTATATTCCCCAAGGGATAATCCGAGTCCACACCCATTGGCCTTTTTTTTTCTTTCCTCAGACTTTAGTGGAGCGTATCGGAATGTAGAGTGTGTTTGTCCACCTTTGTTGACTGTTTCCAATAGCCTCCATAGATGATTATGCTCCCCTATGGAGTGACAGAAATTTCGCAGCCCAGTTTGGGTTTGGGCCCTGTTCTTCACAGGACAGCTTGCTCTACATGAATGTGTCCAGGTCCTGCCTGTCATAGTGATAGATGTGATCCCTTGTACCCTCATGGAAAACACCAAAAAGAATTAACTGTGTCTTCCAGGCTACCATCTGATACCCACTTTGACTTAAAGGGTCCCTTGTTGATTTGACTTGGTCTCCAGCCTTGGTTGCCAAATGAAGGGCCCAAAGATCTGTGTAGTGAATGTGGTCAATTCATCTTTCTCAGGATGATCAGAGAAAAACACATTCAATGTGTCGGTGAAGGCGGGGAATGTGCGTTTCTACAGTCTGAGTGTTTTCAGCATCTTGTGTCTGGAGGTGGGCTATCGGAGTTTGAGGGTCTCCTCCTTCCCCAGCTCTTGGACATTTTCTTCTCCATCTTAGTGGCCTTTTCTCCTTCTTGTCCATCATGTGGGTCTGAAGCCACACAGGGAGACCGAAGGAGGGAGCTGCTTGAGCAGCCTGCTTAGAAGTGGATCCTCACAGGGGCAGTTCTGGTGATGCATTTTTAAAGACAAACTAGAAAATTTGTCCCCCTCCCTCCCAATCATAAACATTATAACAGTTTACTATGCATTTTGTTTGGACTTAAAATTGCCTCCAACTTTCCTCTGTTTGTCTCAGAATATACAAGAGCAAGCAACCTAAGTGCTTATGTAAGTGTGTGTGTACATGAGTGTCTATATGTATTATGCAGTATTTATTCTGTTGCCTACATGATCTTTATACATTTCTTCTATGATGAGCTGTGCATTTCTACAGGTTGAAGCCTGCATCATCATCATTATTCTGTGCCATATCTACTAGCCCCATATGTCCCTAATCAAAAAGGTTGGTAACAATGCAGATAACCATCTAGCTTGGATCTGAAGAATAAATGAACTCAGACAAGGTATTTTAGGTTCAAGATGTTGGATTCTAGGCCATAATGAATTTATTTAAAACAATGAACTACACCTTGACAGAAGACCTTTAATTTTATATAATTACCCTCATAATCTATGGTCTTTCCTCTGATACTTTCTCTTTCTAATACATATCCAGAAAGCTCTTTGGAAGAAAACTGCTAGGAACCCATTTGCTGGTGATCACTAAGAGATTGTTATCTGTCGATAGAAAATTTTTTTTCTTATAAAATACCTAGATGTTCTGGGCTTCTTTGCTGCTGCTCTATTTATCCTTGTGATGACTGTCAATATTTTTTTAACATAATCACTTCTCCTATCCTGCTGGTATTCTGAAATAATCTATTTTTGCTGCTTCAGCTGCTGCTGTGTATCTCATAGGTAGAAGCCATAGAATGCTATAAAATTGCATAATGGAAATAAATAATTGGATTACATTGGAGAGCAAGTGGTTTTTCACAATAAAGTGCTATAATTTAATTATTCCGGGCTTATCTCTAATTCCTTATTTCCTTTTCCCATTCATTTTTGCCAAATGAATCTCTCTTTGTGGTATGTATTTATTAACATTGTACCTCTATTTTTGTGACATCTGAATTCGGGAGCTGAAATATGTGTCTGAGATATGCTATTTCAACTCTCTCTCGCCACTCCAGGCTTAGGGGAGGGCTGTGTCAGACTAGCAATGTAGAAAGTAAACTGAGTTAGCCCTTCCCCATTGTATATATTCTTGGTAACACCTGGCTATGGAAGCTGTCCTGTACAGCTGTGTGTATGCAGAGGGATCTCGAGAAGCAAACTTGCTGAGTCAAAGTGCACACTCATCTTTCCCCCGGCTCTATTGAAATATAATTGATAAACAAATTATACACATCACAGTGTACAATATCATGTTTTTTGGGGTTTTTTTTAAAGATTTTATTTATCCATTTATTTATTTGAGAGAGTGAGAATGAGAGAGAGAGAGAGAGAGAGCACATGAGAGGGGGGGAGGGTCAGAGGGAGAAGCAGGCTCCCTGCTGAGCAGGGAGCCCGATGTGGGACTTGATCCCGGAACTCCAGGATCATGACCTGAGCCAAAGGCAGACGCTTAACTGACTGAGCCACCCAGGCGCCCCAATATCATGTTTTTTTAAAAAGATTTATTTATTTGAGAGAGACAGAGAGTGCAGGGGAGAGGACAGAAGGAGGAGAGAGATAATCTGAAGTAGACTCCCCTGAGCATGGAGCCTGACGCGGGGCTCGAACTCAGGTCCGGACCCTGAGATCACAGCCTGAGCTGAAACCAAGAGTCGGATGCTTAATGGACGGGGCCACCCAGGTGCCCCAAAGTCATGTTTTGATATATGTGCGCACTATGAAGCATTTACCACAATCAAGATAATTAGCATATCCATCACTTCACAAAGTGGTGAGAACACTTAAGATCTAGTCTCAGCAAATTTCATGTAATACAGTAATATTATCTATGATCATGCTGTACATTAGACCTCCAGAGCTTACTCATCTTGCACAACTGAAACTTGGGGTGCACACATTTGAATTTTACTAGATTATGTTATCTCACTTTCCAATATTCAGTTGCTTTTTTCCTATCTTATATTTTACTTATTACCACCCCTCTCACCCCAGTTTCAGAATAAGCTGCTGCCCAGTTGCTCCTATTTTCTAGGTGGATTATCGGAACTATATCTCAAACTGATTGCCTACCATTTTTTAAAATACACTACCAGAATGAATCCCTAAATGTCTTAAATACCACTCTACCTCATATAGAGGTTTCAGCCTCCCAGCCATCTGTTGTTATCCATATGCTCATCTCCATCCTGCTCTGTTCATCCTTGGATTTGAGTCAGTCTCCTAGCCACCCCCTCGCGCCCCCAAACTCTTCTACCATGCCCTCTGGAACTCCTGGGCCATCACTTAGCAAACTCCCTCATAAACTCAACCTGGTCTCTGACTGCTCCTTTATGGTCTTGCCCTGATTAAAACTCCTGCCCCAGAGGATACCGATTCCTCCCCAGCCTTTCACAGAGAAGCCCATATTCCACTAATCACAAACCAGGAGGGAGCTGTTGAGGTGGGTGCCCGCCTAATTAATTGCCCGTGGCCACATCCAAATCATTTCTACCCCTTTCTCTGTCGAAAACCAATTCGCTTTGGAAGTTTATCTTGTCAGACTATACCATGGACATGCTTTCCTTGCTGCTGCCATATTCTAAGCCTCCTTGTCAGTTATGACCTCTGCACCTTACAGTCTTCCTCTCCGCCACCACGTTTATTGAGCCATTCAACACCCTGAGCCTCTCACTTCCTTGACTTTCTCACTTCCAAGGATCATCACCCGTAATTGCACCACCTCTGAAATCTTGATCTCAGGCATGCTGTACTCTGATAAGCATTCTTTTTAAAAAAAGATTTTATTTATTCATTTGAGAGAGAGAGAGAGCATGAGCGGGGGCGGGGGGAGGGGGAGGAGCAGAGGGAGAGGGAAAAAAGCAGACTCCCTGCTGAAGGACACACACGGGACTCCATCCCAGGACCCTGAGATCAGGACCTGATCCTGGGTGGCTCAGAAGGACTGAGCCACCCAGGCGCCCCCTCTGATAAACATTCTTATCTTTGTCTCGCTTACTGTAGCCTCTCCCTTCTAGCCTGTAATTCTTCTCCCAGATTAAGATCTCTAGTTTATGGACCCATCATTAAAGTCATTCAGTTGCAAAATCCCTTTAGTTCCCTCACTCCATAGAACTCTCCAGATAAAAACCCAGCACTGTCTAAACCCACCTCTGCCTTTTGTCCACATAACTGCTTGGGGGAGAAGTCCTGACCTTCCTGCCTACTATCTGCTCACATTCTTTGCTTTCTTTCCTGTTACCTTGTTAGAGATGGCTGTTTGCATCAAAAGCAAATCTCTCTGAGGTTTGGGGTCCCACCCCTTGCAGCCTTCCTACGGGCATCACTTTTGTTAAGTATTTTCTCTTTTTCCTGCATTGCCAATATCTGAAATTCTATTGAATATCTCCCATAAGCATACAAAGCGTAGTAACAGTTTTTATCTTTAAAAAAACCTCTTTTTAAATTTCATGTACTTTTTTAGAAAACCATTTTATTTCGTTTCTTTGACTGCAAATCTGCTTAAAATGGTTGTGTCTCCTTTCCTCACTTTGTGGTCTTTCTTTGACCCGTTCTTCCCATCCAACCTCTCAAATAAAACTGCTTTTATGAACATGATTTCTGTTGTGCCACATCCTGGCATTCTTTCTTTATGTTCATTTTATTCAACTTCTCAGTGAACTTGAAATGATTCTTTGGATGCTGCTTCTCTTGACTTTAGTGACATCTGTTTTGTTCTGTTTTGTTTTCCTTAACAAATTGGACCCTCATTTCCCTTCACCTTTGCTCACTGCATTATGAACTCTAGGACAAAATGCATGGGCAAAGAAAAATGCAGCCCACAAGAGCTAAGAGATTTGAAGAACAGATATTAATATTCTACTGTTCCAGAGCCATAGAAGGCAAGAATAGAGAGAATGGATAGTAGACAATGGCCAAAGTAGAAATAGAAATAATGGCAGAAACCTTTTCCTATCTGCTGATTGCCCTAGACAACCAGCCTCTAATATCGTATGTTTTCAATCTTGGTCCTTTCCCAAACTACTCCCAATTTCCACAGCATGCCTTGAGGGGATTGGAATTCAGGTAGATTGGTTGAGCCTCTTACTATAATTTTTTTAAAGTTTTTATTTAAATTCCAGTTGGTTAACATACAGTGTGATAATCATTTCAAGTGTACAATACAGTGATTCAACTTTTCCATACAACACCTGGTGCTCATTACAAGTGCCCTCCTTCACCCCCATCACCTATTTCACCCATCCCCCCACCCACCCACCTCCATTCTGAGGTGATTCCCATTCTCATTTTAGTTTTAATCACTAAATCTTTGAAGATGTATTTATTTATTTTAGAGCACGAGTGGAAGAGGCAGAGGGAGAGGAAGAGAGAACCTCAAGCAGACTCCCCAGTGAGCACAGAGCCCCACACGGGGCTCCATCCCAGGACCCATGAGATCAGGACCCGAGCCGAAACCAAGAGTCAGATGCTTAACCTACTGAGCCACCTAGACACCCCGAATCACTTCATCTTTAAAATTATAGTGACAAACTCCTTTCTCTCACTATAATTTAAACAATGAAGTGATTAAAGTTATGTCAAGACCAACCACAACTTGTTGATAGAAAGAGAAAGAATAAGAAAAAGTTAAGAAATATTCATGGATGTAATTTTTGGGGTATATTACCTGTTCCAAACTTAGCAGCTTAAAATAACAAAAATTTACTATCACACAATTTCTGAGGGCCAGGAATCGGGAAGCAGCTTCACTGGGTTGTTCTGACTCAGCATGTCTCAGAGGCTGCATTATCAGGATAGTCTTGACCAGGGACACAGAAGATCAGTTACAGAGAATTGAGAGGTGAACACTATGAGGGAAATAAAGAAAAATGAGTTAAGATTAGCTTTCTCCACACTGTGTTCTGTGGGATACTTGTCTCCTGTTCCTTCCAAAGAGGGTTCTGTGGTCAAATCAGAACGGGGAACACCTGAGAACTCACCCCCTCTAGAAATGGGCATGGGGAAGGCTCTGGGAGAAGTCCTGAGGCACAGGATCCATTTGCCTTGGTTATTTCAGCATTTCCCCAACTTTTTGACTAAGGGACACCTTTATTTATTCATTTTTAAGACACATTTTTTAAGGATTTATTTATTTGTTTTTAGAGAGAGACAGCACGCGCACGTGCGTGCACGAGTGGGAGGGGAGGGGCAGAAGGAAAGGGAGATAGAATCTTAAGCAGACTGCGGCTAAGCACAGAACCAGACATGGGGCTCGATCCCACGATCCTGAGATCACCACCTGAACCGAAAACACTGAGTCAGATGCTCAACTGACTGCACCACCCAGGCACCCCAAGACACATCCTTTAACTGCTACCTCAACTATCTCTTTCTGACACCTAGATTTGATCATGCCCCTTTGTTAAGGACAGCAGTAGTATCCTTAATTTAAGGATATGGGAAGAAAACAGAACTTTGAATTTTATCCATTTGAACATCATTTTTGTGATATTTTAATATAAATAATACATTAACATAGTAAATGTAAAATAAATAAGTATGGAGGGTGTACCTGCCACATGTTTTACTGATACAAAGAGTCCCCTGGTGTACGGGATAAAGTTATCCTACTTCGCATGTCAGTCAGGTTCTATGAATCTGACTCTACAGGCTTTTCTCTAGACCCTGCCCAACCTCTCCCTGGACTCGCCCCCTAGTGTGTTGACCCTTCTTACAACATGGCAGAGAATTTGTTTAAATGCTATTATATTTTCTAGGATACCATTTTCACCTGAAATATCAGTTTGTCATTTTTTTTTTTTTTTTAAGAGTTTCTTTGAGCAAAAATCAATTTGAATCTGGCAGCACCAAATTAGAAGTGGTTACCAGCACTTCACCTTCAGGAGCTGGGGGAAGACTTTAGTATAGAGAAGAAGCAGAAGCAAAGCTAGGAAATTATTTGATGGGCCATAGCTTACGTGGCCAGATTCTATTCCTGTTCATTGTCTTTGAGGCTTTGTTATCTACCTATAACCTGGACTGGGTCCTGAACTCTTCTCGTTTCCTCAAATATCTGTCTATGACTCTTCACACTAACATTTCCAGTATTTTCCCAGCCTTCTTGAGTTGGAATCACCAACAGCAAAGACTGCCCTTACCCTCATTGGAAGGGACCATACTGGGTCCTCCTTGATTCCCAGATGGCAGCCAAACTTTAGGGCTTTGAACATTGGGTCCATATCTCCCAATTTCAAAAGGCTCCTCCAGACTCTTGAAACTGCACACCAGCTGGAGATCCCAAATCCTGTTTCTGAGCACCCATCTCAAGGATTCCTTCAGCATTGAGGTTTCTCTCCATTTAGTGTTCCTGGTGTGTGCCGACATCTGAATCATGAAGATCCATGATCTTTTTTCTGTAGTTCTGAAGCCCCAAAGCGCTCAGATGGAAAGTGTGTTTTATTTTATTGTTCTTCTTCTTTCCATCTATACCAATATTACATTAGCAATCAAAAGTAATGACTTAAATATTTTGGTATAAACTGAAGATAGCAGAGAGATTGATGATAGTTTTGCATGAAGAGAGAATTATGCAATACAATTATATAAGATTCCAAATGTAAAATAAATAATAAAAGGACACATAGTACCATCATAGTTGATTAAAACAGAAACCTGGGATGGGTTTCCTATTCATTATCCCCTAATTCAATATCCTAATTCAATATCCCCTCAAGATGGAAAGTTTTAAAAACCTCATCTGGTGAGACACCTGATTTGAACCAACGTGAGGCCATTCATGTTTTTAAAAATCTCTCTAAATGTGTCTATTCATATATTTTGCTGCAGAATATTGTTTGATTACGCAGTACCGCCCCAGACCCGACTAGGTATATGCGCTCTATTGCCTTTCGAAAACTTGAAACATTCCAAGTCAAATCTATCTGGCCCCAAGTATTTAGGAAAAGGGGTCTGTGAAATCTTATAATTGATAGTGATTAACTATTATAAATGCTTGCATACATATTATATCTCCCCTTCTAGTAACAGGCCTGCGAGGTGAGCAGGTCCCTGCTTTACAGAAGAGGTAGCCCAGACTCAGGGACTGTCTGATTTTCTCCAGTCTATGGTCCCGGATGCAGGGAGGGCAGACATTAGACCCAGATCATTGGCTCCAGATTGTTTCATGGTGCCGTAAACCCAGTTGTACAGTGTTTGTCGCATAGTCGCATAGATTCTAAGTCCCTTGTCAACAGGGACCCTGCCTTCCTTTTTTCCTCTAAGACTGAGTCCATGGTTGGCATTGCCCTTTGCATAGTGTGTAAACAAGCCTTTCATGAAAGGTAGAATTTATACCATAGCAGTACTTTAAAAAGTCTAATTTAAAAAAAGTCACCAGAGGCTTGGGGACAGATGAATCTCTGATCCAGTTCTCGATCTGCAATTTACACTCTCGTTTACCTTGGGCAAGTCACTCAGTTTCTCTGTGCTTTGGTTTTCTTATCTGTAAAAATGAGAGAAAGTATAAAAGTCTTAGAAAGGGGAATTAGAGCAATTGAAGGAGAAAAATCACGAAATACACAACACACATTCACAAATGGTTATTATGAGAAGAAAGCACCCCACTGATGAATTCAACAGATGCCAATTGAATTCCTACAACTGGAAACCTGAGAGCTATAATAATTTCCCTGCAGAAAGATTCACTGTTCTATGAGAAGAAGCTTTTCACTTTGTTCATCGAACATTTTACTTGTTTTTGGTAGCATTGCCTGATTGGGGATCTTCGTGGACAGCCTAGGAATTAACATTTTTGTTTTTAAAGATCCTAAGGTGGAGTGATATTCATTTCTTCACGTCTTCCCCACTTTCTCATACCTTCTCTCGCCTGCTTTCTCATTCCCTCCTCAAACTGAGGTAACTTCTGGAATCCAAGGAGAAATATAAAAGGAAGGGGAAAGGAAAGGTCAAAGGAAAACAGAAGGGAGAAGGCAGGCAGGTTGGAGAAACAGCGGGGTCTCTGTCGGATGCCCTGCAGTACTCTGTCTGTTGACCATCAGCCTGCAGCCCCTCTTGCTGCCCTCCACAGGGGACCTGCAGGCCATCTGGGCCTGCTGCAGGCACAGCCCCAGGCTGCCTTGTAAGCACGGTGTGTGTGTGTGTGTGTGTGTGTGTGTGTGTGTGTGTGTGTGTGAAACGACACTTCCTTGTTTCCACCGCGGTCGCCCCCAGCCCCCATTTCTCCTGTTCTCGTTGCTAACAGACATGGCCCTGGTTCTTTATTCAACTCAGAACATGGAAAACCACTCTGTTTTTGAAGCTGTATTTCTCCATTGTTTTTTAGTCCCCAGTGTCTAGGGTACTTGGGACCTCAGAGCATGAGAACCATTTACAGGTTGGTTGTTATCCCAAACAATACTCTCTTTCTGCCCTCTCTCACTCTAAGCACGTGCTTCTTACACCGGCCTCTCTTTGCCTCCTGCCAGACCTTTCTTCTCCAGAATCCTCTTTCCTCTTTGCTCAGTGCATCCCTGAACTGTAGGGGGGAGAGGGAGGGAGGGAGAGAAAGAGAGAGACAGAAAGAGAGAGAGAGAGAAGTGAGTGAGAAAGCCCAGGCTGTTGTGACTTACCAAGGATTTTTGTCAAAAGATGAAAGTATCCAAATGTACCAGACAGAAATGGAAAATGGTGCTTTAAAGTAGGAACACATGTTTTACTGTAGAAAAGTAAAAATTGCAGAGGATTATTTTCTTCTATTGTATTTTCTCCCCTCTCCTGATTTTTAGTTGGAGTCAACATAGAATAAACAGTGTGGGATCTACTTCTCACTACTACTACTACTACTACTTTATGCCCTCCATTACCTTTCTAAAACTTGAATAATTCAGAATTCCAAAACAAATCTGGCCCCATATATTTAGGATCAGTACCTTCACTGCCACCATCCACTCCAGACTTGATGATTCCAATAGCCTCCTAACTTGTTTCCCTCTTTCCACCCTTGCTGCCCTCTGGTTTATTATAAATGGTGTAGCTAGAGTGACAGTTAAAATCTAAGTCAATTCAAGCCTCTCCTCTGCTCAAAACCCTCCAATAGGTCCTCCTTTCAGAGGCCTATAGAACTCTCCATGACCTGCCCCTACCATCCTGACATCACCCCATTGGCTTCCTTGCTGTTCCCTGACAGGCCTGGCTATACTCCTGCCTCAGGGCCTTTGCACTTGCTCATTCCTCTATCTGTTATGCTTTTCCTCCAGATTACTGAAGTCTAGCTCCTTCACATAGGTCAGTCTTTACTCTGCCTTCTAAGGAGAGTAAGAATTGACAATCTTCTAAATTACGTCTTCCTCCAAAATTTCCTTATCCTTCCTCTTTAACAGTTAAAAATTATCCTAGGGATAAAAGTATTTGGTGTTTGTTTGTTTGTTTTTCCTCTTTGGACAACAGGAAAACTTGCCTTGAATATCTTTGGCCTGTAGTGTGAAATTATTGCTTCATAGGAGTTTTAAGTGGTAATTTCATTCATATTTAAGAATCAGGGCTGAATGGGGTGCCTGGGTGGCTCAGTTGGTTAAGTGTCTGCCTTCGGCTCAGGTCATGATCCCAGGGTCCTCGGATTGAGCCCCACATCGAGCTCCACGTTGGGCTCTCTGCTCAGCTGGGAGCCTGCTTCTCCCTCTCTCTGCCCGCCCCCCTGTTTGTGCACTCTGTTTCTGTCTGTGTGTGTCAAATAAATTAAAAAAAAAAAAAAGAATCAGCGCTGAAGTACGGATAGCATGCTATTACATGTGAACTTTTACCTCATGGTTAAAAGTAAAATGAATATATATCTTTTTTGTTGTTTTAAAATTCTGTTCTAGGATCTTTGTCAATGATTCTGCATCTCAGGGTTCAGGAGAAATCCATTTGTAATCACTTCTTATTTATCAACAGGGTGGACTAAGTGCACAAGCTTTTGTTCGTGTGGAAATGGAGGATGTGAATGATAATGAACCTGTTTTTAACCCGTCAACCTACATGATGAGCATTAGCGGCCAGACCCAGCCAGGCACCGAGATCATCAATGTTCTTGCCACTGACAGGGATTCTGGGGTATACGGAACAGTGGCTTATGAGCTTATTCCGGGAGACCTGTCATCCCTTTTTACCATCGACTCCACTACAGGTGTGTGCTCTTGGAACAATTTTCCTCTGAAATCAACAGCTTCCACTTTACAGCCAGAAAATTGGCCAAAGTGATTTTTTTTTATTAGCAGGGATGTTGCAGGACTCACTTCACCTTCCAGAAGGCAGCAAGGTACGTTGTAAAGATCCAAGGTTTTGTGATTACATGAGACCCGGATCTGAGTTCGAGCCTTGCCTCCTACTGGTCTTACAATCTTTATTGGCCTCAGTCTCTTTACCTTAAAGGTAGCGCTATTAATTCCTGAGTTGCAAGGTTTTGAGAGGATTAGAGGCAGTAAATTATGAGAAACAGCTGGCTGATAGTATTTATTTTGCAAATGTTCATTCACTCCATTCGTATGATCTTGCCATCTAAGGGTGATTTCCATGATTTCAGTGTTATTAAGAGATATTTTAGTGCAAAGAGCATTGCGTGGACATCCAAAGTAGATCCCTTTCTTGTACTAGGTCCGGCATTCCCTAGTGTCTTTGGGTCTTAGCTTCCTTGTTTTTAAAATGATACCCAAAGCTCCTTTTAATTCTCTAATATAGTAATTGCATATCTGCCAAAGAAGTCCAGTGGATAAACTGAGTCTTTTAGGAATAATCAAAATTTAGGAGGTTATCATCCCCTTCTTATTGGTTTATTGTTAACAAAGTAATGTTTGAAATAGTTGATTACAAGAAAATCTAAAATTTCAAGTATATATTATTACATTGTAATACTTTTGAGATATTGGAGATGTTCTGGTCCCAAAATGGTACTGCAAAAATAAACAAACAAAAACTTTTTTTCTTTTACATTTCTCCTTCTTTTAAAAAAATTTAATTAAATTTTACTTCATTGTAGTAAGAACACTTAACGTGAGCTCTGTCGTCTTGACAAATTTTTAAGTATACAATGCAGGATTGTTGTCTGCAGTTATAATGTACAGCCAATCTCTAGAGCTTATTCATCTTGCTTAGCTGAAACTTCATACGCATTGATTAGCAATTTCCCATCTCTCCCTCCTAGCTAGCCTCTTGCAACCACCGTTACTCTCTTTGATTTTATGATTTTGACCATTTCAGAGACCTCATGTAAGTGGAATAATGTAGTATTTGTGATTCTGTTCCTGGCTGCTTTCACTCAACACAGTATCTTCCAGGTTCATCCATACTGTTGAATTTTGCATGATTTCCTTCTGTTTTAAGGCCAAATACTATTCCATTGTATGTATGTACCACATTTTCTTTATCCATTCATCTGTTGATGGACATTTAAGTTGTTTTTACAGCTTGGCTGTTGTGAACCTGGGAGTGAGGATATCTCTTTGACATTTTATTTCTTCTTAAAGCACCTGACCTGAGCACAGGTAAAATGCATTTCTGTTGTGATGAGGATAATGTCAGGTGCTATAACAGACATTTTCTGTACATTGTCTTTATTGGATCTTCACAATACCCTCTGCAACAACCATTTTCGCTAGCAACAAACAATAATTTACACAGCAAATCTAACCATGTTAGTTTGGCTTCTCACCCAACCCCGGTAGCTGGAGAGTCATTGCTTCTTGCTTGGAAGGTGTACTTGCATCTGATGTGTGTGACTGGTTAGGGGATTAGTTGTTTACAATGGCAGTCTTAATAAGGCAGAACTTTCCTTGCTCAAAATAATCCACTGACATGGCTCCTTTAATGTTTCAAAGATCAGAAGAAAATATATATATATATATATATATATTTTTTTTTAGGAAATTAGTCTGCTTATCTTGGCTTTTTCAAAATCCGTCTAAACTCCTTGTCAAATTGTCAGGCCCTCTAGGACACTAGCATTGCCAAAAATATATAGGTCGGCCAGTAATCAGGGCACAGGATCTAAAAATATTTAGTAGATTGTTTTTAAAAGACATCAACATGCTCATCGTCTAGTTTTCCCTGGAAGGTCTTGAAGAATGAGCTGTACTGTGTTCTGTTTTTAGAAGAGATCTCTTGCTGCTGTACTGGCTTCCATTCCTGGCATGGGCTATAAGACAAATGCCATTGTTAATCAAGGAGAAGGCTTTACGTGGGTCATTATCTAGGGAAGTATCACGGTATTTTTTTTTTTTTTTTAAGCAAAGACCAAATTCATAATGGAAGTAGCCATGGGTTATTATTGTTGGCAGTTTTGATGCCGGTTCATTTAGGTTGAAGATGTTTTTCTAACAGTGCTCAGAATTTGGTTGCGCTTAATCGCAACTCATGAGAAATTCATGAGGCCTGGTAATGCTTTACTTTAACCTTTAGAAGAGAATTAAACAGCATCACAACTAGCTATGGGAAAAAGTTGCCTAGTGAACAGGCAGTATTCAGCTGGAACAGTTGAATTCAAGTTTATCTGTTGGCTGACTGCAACTCCGAATACATTTCTATATCGTACATAATAGTTAGGCTTCTAGGCCATGCCAAAAAAGCTAATCGAACTGTTGATGTTCTCGAAGAGTAGAACAAGGAGCCATATTGGGATATGGTTTTCTTCTTCTGGATCTGCTTTTTGTTGTCGTTGGTGTTGTTGCTGTGACCTATATGAAGCTGGACTTTCTTGCTTCTGCCATAACGTCTGTCTTTACCGAAGCTGCCCGTGTAATTGCAGTGTCAAGAAATTGCCTCTATCAATATATATTTGTAGAATGAATGAATAAGTGACATCTAGAAATAATTGCAAAGTGATTTAAATCCTTATTACGAATTCTTAAGAAACGGCAAGAGAGTGTCATTGATAACACAGAGCAAAATTTCATTTAAAATCTTCTTTCTGCATCACAGTGTGGTAGGTAATGCTGTGGCTCACCCCCACTTTTCCTCAAAATTCTCCCAAACTCTTTCCACCTGGCTAGCACTTTTCTAGGTATATATGCCAAGTATACTAAATATATTTGCATTTATATATAGTTATACAATTCTATAGATGTATAGCTGTATAGTTTTATATTACATGAGAAGAATATTGAGAATCGATGAGCTAATTTATACATTGTCACTTCTTCATGAATTACTCTAGGAATCTCTCTTAGAGACATTTATTCACTTGTTCACTGGTTCATTCATCCTTTCATTTTGACGCTTCCTCTATCAGACATGCTGTTTTCTAAGCTTGCTCATGTTCTAGGCTCATGTTTTTCTGAAGACAAGAGATTGCCCATTGATCTTTTTGTGCCACAATCGAGACTCATACTTTAAAAATAGAGCTCTTTGACTTTCTGTGTTCATCTGGTAAGAAAAATGTTTTGGAGAAAACTGGAAGGGGGTGTGGTGATGTCATGGTTGTTTTCTCTTGTGGGTTTATCTTCCTGTTCTGTTTCTGGTTTTCTAAGTTTGTTGTTGGTTCAAAGAACATTTTTGTAAAATGTGCTTAGGCACCAGGAGAGATATGGAACTGAGCCTTCTCTCTCTTATTCTCAGTTAGTTGGGTTCCTTTGATGTGGGCACGAGGCCGACCACACTGTTTTGAGTTTTAAAAGAAGGAAATACAAGAGTCATGTTTATTAATAGCTCTTTTTATGTTTTTAATCCTATTTTATGAATTGTATGTAGATTTTTTTCTTATGTTGTTTGAAGTATTCCCTTTAGTAGCATGAAAAGAGTAGTTCTTTAGCTCCTGTGTATGTCCTATTTAGTTAGTAATTTTATACTGAAGCGAACGTTACTGCCAACTCAGATTATTTTAAGGTGTCTGATTTCAAACATTTGTATTGGTCATTTGCAGTAGCCCACCTACCTGTTTTGCTGGGATTACCTTTGGTTAAATTCTTCTGGTTTGCCTCTCTTTATAGAAGCAAGTTAATGATATAAAGAAAAGTCAAAGTTCTAAAGAGTGTAGCTTATCTATTCAAGGCAGAAAATGGAAGCAAGTTCATCCTTTCAAGACATATTTATTCAATACCTATTATGTACCAGGCACTGTTTGAAGTATTTGGGATACATCAGTCAGTAAGACAGATAAAAATTCCCGTTCTCATAGAACTTACAACGAAAGCTTATGTTGCTTTGCCTATTGTCTATGCTATGTTTAGTTGTGGTGTACACAAAATCCAAGTTTAGCATTACAGAAGAACAAGTAATTAAAAGGGTAAGTGAGTGAGTTAAAGGCAGCTATGCCTCCTTGTTTGGTTGTAATCTTTTGTTTGTACAGGATGCGTGGATTTTAACATGGGCTGTGAGTAATGTAGCACAGACTCTATTTTTCTTTATTTCAAGGGCAGATCTTTTTCTAATGTTAGTTTTAAGCTCACATTTCATATCATGTACTGATTCTCATAATTCTTCGCGATTGCCACACTTTCCTACATTTAGAACATTCTGATATGTAGCTAATAAATTAAAACCACATCTCATTCCATAACAGATGTGAGCTTACTTAGGCCAAACAAAAAATAATGACTTCCTTTTATTTGTAAGACAGGGACTAAAATTAATCATGAACACCTAATCAGTGTGTGTTGCTTTTGTAGGAAACAAAAGCATATTAGAGAGTTTTCTTATGAGTTTTTCCAGTATAAGATCACAGATTCTTGAGGACCTTACAATTCAGCTCCCTTATTTAGTGGAGGAAGAAATCAAAGCTGAAAGGGAGTCAGTGACTTGCCTAAGGATACACGGTGAATAAATGGCAGAATCAGACTTAAACCCTCTCCTGGACCCGTCATCTGTCCCTTATTGCTCTGTCTCAGATGATAACACCTTTCAATATCGTTTCTATATTTTGCCTATTTGAGCCTTAACATCAACTTATGACATAAGCAAAGCGGATGCTTTTGTGCCCATCTGCAAATTAAGAGAAAGCCCTCAGAGTCTTAGTGACTTGCTGAGGGACACAGTTAACAACCCTGACACTGGAATTTACTTCTTGGACTTCCCTTTTAAGGCTCTTTCCATTATTATGCCTTTTTTTTCCCCTTTTAAACTAAACACAAAGCTAAGATAAATAGAGGTTTCATTGTCTCAACTAAATAAGGTAGAAAAGTGATCTTTCGTTGTGGC